TCTCGAAGGGGCTTCACTGCCATAGTAAAGAGATTTGCTCTAATTCATGGTGAAGCCGTGGACTACTGCAAATTTATTTGGTCCATCCGAACAGAAAGGTACTGAAACGATGCTGCGTGCGCAAAGAGCTGTAATGGGGTCACGCGTGAATCGCGCGCCCCCCATGATCAAACAGTGACTCTTCAAAATGATTCATTCAACAATACATCTAAACGCAGTAATAGCGCCCGATCAAAGACATTCCTCCATAACGAAATGAGAATATTGTTCACTTCTTACTATTACACTACGACTGTTAGCAGTAAGCTTTGTGACACAATGAAATACCACTATTCCTTTCTATTTTGTGACATATCATTTGTGACTAGACTCATCTGACCGCTAATGATTCGGAATTCCCAATTAATGAAAAATCCGTGGGGAAAGTGTTCCATCGATAACGATATTATCCATTTCTGGGTACCATTCAAAACATTAGTTGTCATTCAGTTGAGCCGTCAATGTGACACAACTTCGAGATGAAGAGCAATGAATTAAGACTTCTTATTAGTATATAATCCATTATAATACAGAAAAATCGACCCAATCCGGAGCTAAGACTGAGGGTGTAGAGCTTTTGAAGACAAAGGAGAATCCGAAGTTTTATTTACGCATAGCAACTTTCTTGCAAGAAGGAGGAGCGCCTTGCGAAGCCGGGCGACACTATAAGAAGGAGTGAAGCCCGGCGTTAGCCGGGGCCCGACTGGTACTTATTCATAAAAAAAGGGGGAGGGGTGTTCCTCAAGACAAAAGTCCTTTGCTAGAAGATTTTACGTTGTCTATTTGAATATGAATATTCAATGCTAAGAAACAATGCATTAGGGCTTGAATCTATATCTTTCAGATACAAGGATGATTTACTTGTACATATATAATACAGATACTGATATAATTATACGAGAACTCAAATAAGTATATAAAAATACTCTTGTCTTAGAAATAACGCATGGAAATAAATACCGATACTTGAATTACAAACACTAATAGAAAAAGGTGAAATATTCACATGAATGTGTGATAAATCATAGTTTTGGCCTTCAGGTCAAGCGTTTCCCACATTACGCGACGCTTACGTTTCTAAAGGTATTAAACTTTGCACATATACTGAGGAATATTGAGATTTGCTGGAAGGTACGTATAAAAATGATTTTTTGGATGGTTAAAGTATATTGGATATCAAATATACCAAACGGGTTATGGTGAAGATATTCTTGTTATCCTACTTATGTAATCCGCTATGTGTGTCTGTTGGTGTGTTTGTGTGTTTGTGTGTGTGTGTGTATGTATGTGTGTGTGTGTCTGACCGAAAATTCATAACTCCTGTCCCCGTGGACCGAAAGCGTTCTAATTTCGTAGGAATATAGGCGGCAGGAAGGGAACACTTTTAGTGGGTGCTAGGACCGGACTCCGCCCAAAGGGGGCGGGGTTTGTGAGAACTAAATACTTGAGCGAAAATTCAGAACTCATGTCCCCGTGATCCTAGAGCACTCAAACTCGGAAGGAGTACGGGTGGCAGGATCAAAACATTTATGGTAGGTGGCAGAGTCAGACTCCGCCCACGATGGGCGGGGTTTGTGCAAAAATTCACTACTCCTGTCCCCGTGATCCTAGAGCCCTCAAACCTGGTAGGAGTATGGGCGGCAGGCTAGGGACACTCATGGTGGGTGGCAGGACCAGACTCCGCCCAAAATGGGCGGAGTTTGAGCGAAAGTTTATAACTTTTGTCCCCGTGGACCTAGAACGTTCGAATTTGGTAGGAGTTATGGGAACAAGATGGGAACACTCACTGTAGGTGGCAGGACCAGACCCCGCCCATAGGGGGCGGGGATTGCGCGAAAATTGCCAATTAGGCCCAGGGCGTTCAACCTTGGTTGGAGTGCAGGCGACAGGATTGGAACACTTAGTAAAGGTGGCAGGAAAGGACCTTGCTCACAGGGACGGAGTTTGCGCGAAAATTGACAATTTGACCATAGGGCGTTCAAAGTATTCCGATTGTACGAAAATTTCACGGAGGTACGCTTCCTTGGCCCATCTTTCCTTCTTTCTCTGAATAATCGCTTTTGTGATATTATACGATGTTCTTACCGGACACGGCGAAGATGGCTTACAGAAAAAAATTGCTCTCAATTCGGCCCGACTGGTAGGTAGTATGAAATGCTTAGCCTGTACTCTATAAATACGGCTCGGGATATAAATCCTTTACTAGAATATTAGACACATACTATGATATATAATGTTGCTGCGCAACAACTTAGCTTTGAAGAGAATGGCGCAGAGCCGGATGTTTTCTGGTGGCGAGTTTTTTTCATGCTCCTGATTCCTTCGTATTCCTTATTATCTCCTTTGAATTTTAATTTATTATATATAACGATATTACTCTTTTGTTCTCCCTGATGAGCACGGAGGGAGATTATTGTCAGGTTTGGCTTCGATTTAGGGCACGTGCGAAACGGAATTTTGTTTATCCCTTTTTAATTTCGTAAAGTTTTTGAAATGTAAGCAATTAAAGTATTACAAAAAGACGACTCGATTCTCGCCGATGAATAGGTGGCGATGTGTTTTATCCTCGATTAAAACAATTCCTTTTATGATGCAAAAAGTATTTCGCCCTCCGTTACAAGTTATTTCAGGTTGCACGGAAAGTACCTGACGAAATTTTCGTAGTGATCCGAATCTCTTTTGGGATTTTTCAGATGTTCCATGAAAACTCTGTAAAGGGACACAACTCACTTGTATGCACAAAACATTATGTGGAGTTTTCATATCGGGATCGTTCGGCTTGATCGAGTTTCATCAGTAGACAAGAATTAGTAGACAGTTAGGAGGAAACCAAATATGTCATGTGCACGCGCGGGTAATTCCTTATATGAAACCCAATGAGAGCTCAGAGCAAATCCCGGTAGGAAATATTAACTACCCTAAAATTCCATAGATAAGAGCGGGTGAACCTACCGGTGAAAAATGAATTGGAAAAAATCGAAATTGAATGCAGTCACCCCTCTAACTTGATGGATGGATAAATTAAACTTCGAAGAAGAAGTTAAGAAGAAGCTCCGCCCCTCAACCCTAAACCCCGCCCACTTAAAAAACAATTCATATAGAAAAACAGCGATCCGTAAAAATCGCTATTTTTCTATATGAATTGTTTATTAAGTGGGCGGGGTTTAGAGTTGAGGGGCGGAGCTTCTTCTTAACTTCTTCTTCGAAGTTTAATTTATCCATCCATCAAGTTAGAGGGGTGACTGCATTCAATTTCGATTTTTTCCAATTCATTTTTCACCGGTAGGTTCACCCGCTCTTATCTATGGAATTTTAGGGTAATTCAAAATTTTAGTCAGATACTCCCCCCACAACCTAATAAAGGCAGCTGAATGCCTAAATGATCAGCAGAATTACTTCAAACTCATAGGGATGTGAGATGTATAAATGAACTTTCCCCTTAATATATGAATCTACAGGGTGCAGCAAAAGTTCTGGCAAAGGCCGTTTCAGGTTCTCTTTAGAAAATGAGGCCTTCGATCTCGACAGGACATGCGCCATTATTTATTGCAATTCCTCTTCTATACATTCAATGAATGGGCCGTTCTTGAATATGCCATCTTACACAATGGTGACAAGCAAAGACCAACGAGCCTCCATCCTGCACCTCCATCTGGCTGGATGCACGGCAAAGACCATCTTCAAACAGCTCCAGATTCCCTTAAAAACCGTGTACAACATTATTTGAACGATCTTGCAATGATCAGTAGCTGAGCAGAAGGAAGCAATACTACAAACCATCCACGAATATTGAGGCATTGGTTTAGAAGATAGGGACCATCTCACTCATTGTTCACTTTTTCGACGTTTGGTTCTCACTGGTCTGTTGCTCCTCGAAGATTCGGTTCTATACAGGCAGAATGAGCGAGCAGACAGCCCGATTCAATGCCAAGAAATAGCAGATCAGATGTGTGCGTGGTGTGATCACGTCATGCAATTTTATGATGACCATTGAAGCAGGAAGGTTGCTGATTGTATCCCGGGGCTGACATCAAGGTAATAGCTGGACGGCAGCCAGTCCAGTAGTCAGAACTCTTCACGCAAAGTCTTGAGGAAAGAAGTTGTAAGACATGTCTGTTGTACGATAGGGGTCTACTGTATCACACTAGTTTGCGGCATTGACGACTGGAGACTTTACCTGCACCCCTTCGAACAAATCGATGTTCAACGGGACCACAAAGATACAGTTAAGGCAAGTTTCCGATACAAGCCATTATCAGGGTTTGTAACACGGACTAGAGCATAGAACAGGCATGGCAAAGGATCAGAGGAGCGTTTGTAGAAAATTTTATTTGCCTATCTTCTCTATTGCCTGTCAGTTTTCTACACAGTGGTGTCTAGCGTAGTTAAGGTGGTCGCAAGTGCCATAGTGCACATGCTTTCCCACTAGCAGTTAGACCAAACTCCACTCCTTTGCTAGTTTTCTGGTTCTGAGTATCTGCCTCTTCGACTGATCAGCATCGAATATCGCATCCTTTGTCATGGTCTGGTTCGAAAGTAATGTCTTTGCCAAGAATCAATGTGACCGGCATTTGCTTGACGTATAGCCGTCCCATTCGATATCTTTCGATTTCTTCACTTTTTGAAAAGGTGTAGTGCTGAAGATTACGAACTCGCAACTTCTCTAGGGAATCGGGGAATCCGTAATCTTCAGCACTTCCTTGACATCCTGCAGCCTCATCCTGAAATCCCGGCAATGAGTAGTCTTGGAAGAAAAGTCGGATGATTTGAGTTGACTAATGAAAAATGTTGATACATTTTTTTCATAGACACCGTTGGTTCTTCCACGTAGATATATGCTAATTATGACGCGGTTTTTATACATATACATATTATACAATAACTTCAAATAATATATCACTTTCCAGATGCTACTGATGGTACTATGTGCGACGATTTCTTCAGTATCTAGTCAGCTGTTACAACCCTCTCAGCAAAGGCAGTTATGGAGTCAACAAGCGCAACGGCCTAATGCCGTTCGAGGCCATCAACGAGCTACTACAAATCCAATGCGATCCATACGTCTAATGGCAAGCATGTTACCGCCTGAAGGGCTTCAACAGCAGCACACTGCTTCAGTCTCGAGGACGCCGTCAAGACAGTGGAATACTGGCTTCCAGGTTCTTAACACTTTTTGCTTCCCAACTTTTACGTTCTCTAGTCTGCTATCTGCTCTCCTATCCAACTTTCCAACTTCTGCCAACCCTCAAATCCATGAACTGAGGCAGTAATACTTCCAGTTGAATCTTTTTTTTTGTGATCGAGAGGAGAAGGACTGGATGGAAAAGGATAGGAGGGGGTGAAGGAGCGGTAAGAAGAAGGGCAGACAGCAATAAACCGAAATTAATTCTGCTTGCTCTCAATAAGTGCGCACTGAGCATCACTCGAGATTTTATCTGACATTAATTTAAACTTTTCAGAATCAAACATTTCATGGGAAGAAAAAAAACAAAAATTTTGTCATTTTGAAAAAGATATTTGATTCGATTTCTACACAGAAAATAGTATTCAATATGACTGGAGCACTTCTCTTTTGATATGCGTGGGTAGTTACGCTCAAAAAAATGAAGGGGATGTTGAAAAACCGATAGCCCGATTAGTTCATTGGTCAAATGATATACATGCAGTGTTTCCAATAGACTCTTGCCGCTTACTAATTGACTCCTAAGGAATCGAATATCAGCGCGATATTGCTACAACTAGCTGTTACCACTCAAAAGCCAAAAGTCAAAAAGCAAAGGTTCATTTGCTAGAATTTCTTGAATAAAAATGAGATGAATGATGTCTTACAACTGGTGTTGATGGTTAGCGGAAGAAACTGGGCGCCGTTCGGCATCTTCCCCTGTCAAGAGCGAGTTCGATGAAACGCTCTCTTACTTTGACCATAAGTCATTACTAATGATGTTACCAGGTCGCTGATCCCTGCCTGTTCACCGACGCCTTGCGAACCACTTCTTTTCCTTGATTGTGGAAAGCAGTACTCAAGAATCACATCATAAATATGGTAACAAAAGAATTGGGCTATAGAAATCGCAATTCATATTAATACATAGTGAATTCGTATGAGTTATTTACTATGCGTTGCAGCTACAAAACAAAAACACGATTATCTTGAATAACCGTCTTCTGTACTAATTATAGCTCGAAGACGCTTCTGCTACTCTTGCCAGACAGAGATTTTAGCTAAAACCATCATGAAAGAGGAAAAATGGCTGCGAGAGGCGATCTGACTTTTTTCAGCGGCTTCAGCACTTGTAGTGTGAAAGATACGTTTACTCTGGGACCTCAACATTTCTTCCACGCTGAACATCCTTTAGTTAAAAGAAAGATTGTCGAAGCGTGTGCCGTGCGCTAGTCGCTTCGACAATTTGTTTTTCCCCTCCAACAAGATTCTTTAACAAGTTTTCTTTTTAACAAGAAGCTTACGAGGCTTTCAAATCTTATCTGGACAGAATTATGTTTACTCGGGTAGACTCTTCTCATCTCTTTAGGACAGACAGTAGTAGGACATACAATCGGATCAGCACTTATTTTTTTCTCGTGTTTCTGCAGGTCCCGCAGCGTACTCCTGCCCAAGCAATTATGTTAGGAAAAGTGGTCGTATGTGAGACAAGCCGACCGTTTTGAAGTTTATCGTTGACCTGTCCACGCTCGCGATTCATGAGAGTGTCATGTGGGAGATGATGGAACGAGTAATGATCCCGGAAAAGGACTCACCAAACGCGCACAAAGACGGAACGGTTGGTGGATGTCTGCGAGGCTCCACCGTTTTTCGAAATCTGACGAATTGATAGCCGCGAAGAAGATTTGTGGGCTAAGGTGTATCATAAACATAAGGGAAGGTGCAGATTTGGACAAACTCTCCAAACAAGGAAATTACGGACGTCGCAAAGTTGTTACCATATTTATGGCGCACCCTATATATATACATATATATATATATATATATATAT